ATGAGTGACTTTTTATCTAGTTCCTTATGAGAATTATTTTATAACAAGAAATAGTATAATTGCATTTTATTATGTGTCGTGTTTGTATATTTTAAATATTTTATTATATGTAAAAAACATTATGTATGTATACGTGACATGCTAAAGTTTACGTGATGTTTGCAATGCTCCTTAATTTTATTCAATTTTAATTCCATTTAAACTCCAGTGAATTTAATTTACTCTTTTCGTATGTGAAACTTTAATCTCGCCAAGACATTTGATATTAAATATTAAGATTACACAATTCGAAATTCATTATCGTTTAAGGCTCGGTTCCATTAATGTAAAATTAACTCTAATTTTGGTTCAATTTGCTCCTTTTCTAATTCTAAGGATTATGCCCGCTTCTACTAATATAGATTAATTTTAATCTTGGTCCCACTTACTCCTTATCTTGTTTAAATTTTAGAACTCTCTCTCTCTCTCTCTCTCTCTCTCTCTCTCTCTCTGTGTGTGTGTATGTGTGTGTCTCTAGAAAAAGATAAAGAATTGAACTAAATTAAAATACATTGGAATTAGAAAATGATAAACAGCAAGTTAAATCAAGATTAAAGTTAATTTTACCAAATTAGTGAAACTGAACTTAATTTGCTTTGATTCAAGTCATTAAGTCAAATTACCATCTTATTATCCTTATTATCATCCTAACTTTCAGACGAGAGTTATTAAATCTGTATTGCTTGATAGGTCATCTCTCGTTCATTAAAAGTAATTTCTATCGCTCGCGAAATCATCGAATTGTAAAATACCTGAATAGCAAGTGACAGAATACAAACAGTAACATCACATCAATGTTATATAATTTCCTATGTACTCAACAATATAATTGTATAATATATGTTATATTACATTTGTATTGTTGAGAAATTATAATTAGATGTAATGTTACTGTTAGTTTATGTTTAGTTTATTCTGCGGATAATTAATGCGCTAAAGGAAGAATAGCGGGTATTCGTGAGTTAGGGTACTTTTCCTCAGGAGCTGCTATTAACGTTGACCGTTAATAGCAGAGTATACTCTCATATATCTCCTTTGTCTTTTTTTTTCTACTCCCTTCTTACCCTTCTCCCATATCATCTTTGCCCTTGCTTTTCTTTATCAGCCTAGAACCATTTCCTTCCCTTGCATCTCTTTCTCTTTATAACTTTACTTTTGCTCAACTCATGCAATTCTGCCTTCCAAGCGATTTCTCTCCTCTTCGGTATTATTATAAAAAATTCAATATAATAAAAAAAAAGATACTTTTCATGGGAAGCCTCACAGTGTGTAGTTTTCTATCAAAAGAAATTGTTGAGCTTTACACGTGCGCGTTACAAAATTTGATGTAAATAAACTATAATTTTCTTCTATTATCGTATTCTAAAATTTTTAATAGAAAAAAAATAGAGCTTTTAATTTAAAAAACTGTAATCGATATATCATGATTTTATTTATCATATATTTATGTCGAGATACGTATTCAAATTCATGCGAAACAATGCGAATGCGATATATGAGTCTAGAAATTAACGTGCGCAATGCAGGTGCTTGTATCTAGATACATTCTCGGCTGCTTTAAATATAATATCTCGAGCCTGTAAGTATATCTATCTGTATCAAAGGCAAAATGTTTTTCTTTTATCGCTATCCTATATGTGATTAGCTCAGAGAGTAACAATCGTAGCGCAACAATCGCTCTCGCGAAGCGAACAAGAAACGCGCGCTCTTGGGATGCTGCAACTGCTGCAAGGCGGGATGAAAATGTGTTCGATCGATCGACGCCCGGCGCTCACGAGCTCACGAGTGACCACGCGTGCGGCACGTCACAGCACTGAGAGAGAGGGAGGAGTGAGAGAGAAAGAGAAAGAGGGAGGGGAGAGAGAGAGAGAGAGAGAGAGAGAGAGAGAATGTTGAAGTGCCTGGATGCTGGGAGGCACCGAAAAGAGATAGGCCTCGCGACGTCGCTAACGTCTTCGATCGCCAGACGATCATTCGCCATCTCTCATCCCTTCGTCTCTTTCTCTCGCTTCTGCTCTTTCCATCCCTCTTGTCACCCCTCTGGATCGAGAACGCGAGAACGCGGGTCTCGTAATCTACCCGTGTGGTCCATGCGCGCGCGGAGAGAGAGAGAGGATGAAGGAGGAAGAGAGTGCGCGGCGCTTCGTTTCGCCGCAACCGCGAGGTCCAGATTCTAGAAACAACCCCCCCGCGGAGGACGTTGCCGAGGTCTTGACGTTAACGAGACATCCTCGTGTCCTTATGCGCGAAGCGCTTAAAGGTCGAGATTAACGTTAAGTGACACCGCTCGGCTACGGTGAGCCGCCTGGCGCGACGGAGTCGTCGTATAGTCACCTTCGTTCGCGAAGCAACGAGGCAACGCGACGTCTCTCGCGAGGGGTGTGTGCGAAAGGGCCGCGAGAGAGAGTAGAGAGAGAGCCGCGATCGATAAGCACCGAAAAGCGGAGCGGAAAGAGCGGCGGCACGAGTCCTCCGGCCGGAGCGCGGTCCTATCCTGCTAGAGAGAACGCGATGCTGCGACTTGCGTGCGTAATCTCTCCCTGGTCATCATACCGACTTACGTCCATCGCTTTCACGCGATGTACGCGCGCACGCGTGCGTATCTACGCATAGGCGGGATGGTCAGGCGGGATCTTCGTGCTTCGTGAAATATCTCCAAAATTCAAATACTCGTCGGACGTTTCCCCAAGCCAGAGTGGAAGGGACGCAGCTTTTCCATCCGGTGTTGCCACGGAAATTTACTTTGGGATCTCGTAGTTCCATGTGCGATCGAACGCAAAGTGTAATACCCGAGATACCCGGGATCTTCTCGGGTACCTCTCGGACCGATCGACGTCGTACGAACTCACGGTATGCCCGAAATTCTCAGACGCAATAAACCTATTTGATATCATCGTGAGTGCCATTTGATATCATCGGTTAGACCTTCTCAATTGTGTTTGCGTTTAGTGCTCCAGATAATTAACAAGAAGAATTGTTATACACAAATTGTTACACACGCGAGTCTTACCGATGCATCTTGAAGAAATTGATACCGAATTTCGGACGGCAATGTGAAATGGAAGCGAGAAGGACTCTTCCATCATACGTGGTAATATGGCATTTGATACAACATATTAATCACTTTATTATAGCTACTAATTATCGAAATTTCGAGTCCGTGTATCTATATATATATGCATCACCACCGGATCAAATAAATTAATTTCGTAAAATTAAAAACAAAATCAATTTTTAATAAATAATCTTTATTATGTCATATCAATTAATTTTTGATTATTAATGAAGCTTTCAGTGTGTAATCGTGTCTCTAAAAATATAAATTACAAAAAATATAAATGTGAAGCACATAAATGGAGGAATATAAAAGCCATACGTAGAATTTGACCGTTATCGAGCGTGATTCCATGTTGTTAAATAAACAATAATATCAATTAATATTATTGTTGCTAAAAATATCTTGCGTGATGTTGATCGCTAAAAATAAAACCGTAATAGACAATTATATTAAGAAAGAAAAGAATAAATTCGATTCGAAATCTTTTATTTTTAGCAATATGTTCATATCAATATCTTCGAGTAATAACAGCAATTCAAATGTATTTCATTAACTTAGTCAATATAATGAAGTAAAGAGGAAAAAGTATATAATATCCTTACGTATGCAAATATAAATATATGTAATATCTTAAAAAATACATACATACATATATATATATATATATATATATATATATATATATATATATATATATATATGTATGTATGTATTTTTTAAGATATTACATATATTTATATTTGCATACGTAAGGATATTATATACTTTTTCCTCTTTACTTCATTATATTGACTAAGTTAATGAAATACATTTGAATTGCTGTTATTACTCGAATATATTGATAAAAAAAAAAAAATATATCTAATTACAACGATCGCAGTATTTGATATCAAATATGCATATAATAGTAAATAAATTATTCTCAACCATAGTAATCGTTCATACTGATTTCGACATTGTAATCGTTTTTAACTAAACAAACATAATTATTCATTTGTTAATAGAGTCCTTTATTTTTTTTATATTCTTTTTTACTCTTTTATACTCTGAACTCTATAAAAGAGGAACAAAGGGAAACACGTGTTTTCTGTACGATCACAAATGCGACACGTGCAAGAAATCATTACGATTGAAAGCACTACGTAACACTACAGCGGTATTGACGTAACTTGTCTTAATTAACGTTACGGCATTGTCTGTCTTTGACTTTGCGACAATTTTTATTATTCAAAGGGCTACTGCTTACGTATTACAAACAGCATGCATAAATGATAAATTCTTTAGCATCATTATATGGACGCGTTTGCGTAAATACGTGAATTTTGTGAATGTTGATCAAATAATTGGCTTGATAGCTCTTGACTCTTGGAAGTTGACACTTGGAGGCACGGGCTATATTATTTATATTAAAACGAGGGTGCGATATAATCCGCGGAAATAACCATAAGCCAAGCTATC